AATCCAAGCATCCCATAAAAAGAAGGATCTTAAAGAAACTGATAATATTCTGATGATTAGCGTTATTTCCACAGTTGTGGTCTTGACCGGTCTTGAAATAAAATGCTGAGTCCTCAGCGCCCGAGACCGAGACAAGACCGAGACCAAATGCGGTCAAGTCCGAGACGAGACCGAGACCATTAAAAAATACTGATCTCGAGTACTACAACACTGCTCATTACTTCTTAAAAATACAAACATAACATCTTCATTTGATGAGGATCTCCTGATAGAATGAGCAGCATTAATTAATAGAGAGTTAGATATAAGTGGGGATAGCGTCATCAGACTGCATACTGATTCCCTTTCTTATTTAGAAAATTATCTAAATGAGCGCTACCATCTTACAATCCATCAGATACATTGCAACCTTAGCCGTCCTCATATTTGCAGCATTACACTTGTTTATGCTTGTACAGGTTTTTATAAGAGCATAATATTGGCATTGATGTGTGTGATAGCAGCGTTACAGAAAACAACTGTACAGTCCAACAGCCACTCAGTATTAACCAGGTAATGTAAGCAAGAATCAAAATGAGGAGGTACCCAATGAGATGATGCACTGGTCCTACCTGTTTGAACGTTTTCATACTTCAATTTCACCTGCTCATCTAAGCTCTTTTCACTGTTTTCTTTAGAAAGGTTGGACTACTGTACCTTAACTTGAAGCCACTGCACTCTCTGCACAACAAAGAGACTTAAATTAATATCTGCATAAGACATTATGATGGGAACTGTTATGGATTCATTGCTTTTATGCACTTGGGATAACTATTTGAGTGACTACTATTTGCTGAAAAGGTAGAAGATGAAAATATGCAATAAACCTACAAAGGTTAAACCAGAAAAGATACAGTGTTTGAAAAGTGTTCTTTTTAGGGATTTTAGTAAAAAATATATGAGAATGAAGAGCCATGTCATATCAGCTGTCTTACTCTAAACCAAAGGATGCCCCAGCATTTTAAGGATTGTATTTTCTCCTGTACTCAGACTTTACAGCATGAACTCCTGGAGTCACACAGATCACAACTTACCACAGGTCTTTTTAGGATGAAGTAGGTCTCTATCTGTAGTCAATCAGTTATCATCCATACCCTCCCAAGAAACATCTGAAACATTTAGGACACTATTATGAACAGAGGTATGCTTGCAGAACAAAGTTTCCATGTTAAAAGCATATTTTTGAAAAAAACACTCAATATTACTTTTAAGTGACGCGTAAAGCACCAAAAAGTGTTTTCAGTCCAAGTGAGGAATCAAAGGAATAAGACATTTTTGTATATTTATATGCAGAGGAAAACGGTATTTTATTATATACGTGTTTTGATAAGAAATATGTGTATTTATATTATACAAAATTGCTTTTATATCCACTTCCTATTTAACCTTGTCATGTTAAACTGTTGCATTTAATATTTTCAACAGCAATGCAGACAGTCTATGGCAGCACTGACCTCCGAGATAAAAACTCTTCAAGAAATGAAACATCCCCATCTTGTGAATATAAATAACTCTTTTGAAGGTATGTTTTTAAACAGCAATCAGCACTTTGTGTTAATCTTTTTTGGTAAAATATATTGTGACAAAAATTATACAAAAAAGTGATTGGAAATATGTTAGAGACGGTAAAAAAATGAAAAAAATATTTCTGCATTAATATGTATGAGTTCTTATACTTGGTACTCAGTTAATAATAAAATCAACTTTTTCTAAGTGGTCATCATTGATTTTACATCAGAAAAGGAATTACCAAAAAAAAGGTGGTAGTTTTTGTTAGGGTTGTTAAGTTTCCCCAACTTTAACCTATTAAAGAAATAAACAAAGACAGCGTAAGATTTTTCCTGACCGGGCTTTGCAAAGGGAAAATGCACAGAGCTTTGGAATCTCTTTGTGCAGTTTTCGTCTTGTACCAAGCTTGCAGGCTTATTTATTGAGCAGTCAATAAATAAATTTTAGTTTCGATTACGCAATCTCTTAGACATAGCATGAACTTTTAAGATAGGAAACATGTCTGGTTTCAGTATACGCTTTTACAAAACGTGTCGGGGGTCATGAACTTCCCTTTCGGTGCTTCTCAAATGTAAAACAGGAACTTCTGTGGTTCATTCTCGCAAAACATTCGACCATCTTATAACCTGCATACACTGTTTCCACTGATGACAGTAAAAGTAGTAAAAGAAATGATTTAAAAGCATTATAAAAGATATGAATGAATAAAATGATAAAAACATCATAAAACAACAGAAATCATAATAACTCTACCAGTTTTATTTTACATTTGAGGCCAGTGTTGAGTATATTATTTCCTTTTCTTAAAAAAATAAAGAATAAAATGGTGACCTTTAAGCGAGTTCAAAGATATATAAAGTTTATGATAAGGTTAAATTATTTCACATATTGAAAATAAAAAAAATAAAATAAACCAGTTTTGAAATAATCAATTTCTTTTTTGTTTTAAAGATGAAAATCAGAACATTTACTACGTAGTGATGGAGGACTGTCAGGGAGGGAACCTTGCTGATAAGATAATAGAAATGCCGGAGCCTCCAGAAGAATCAGAGGTATTTTTGAAACTATTTTAAAATGCATTTCAGTAAAGTATTGTATGGAATCCAATTTTGAAATTTTTTTTTACCTGTGAAATTATTTCATTTACAGATTCTGAGCTACATTGTTGAGATCTGTATGGCCTTGAAAGTCATTCATGAAGCTTGTTTGCTTCATAAAGATCTCATGCCAAAGGTAATTTACAGAGATAAACATACATTTTTTTGCATGATTTTCTTTTAATATTCAACATCACCCAAATTACATTATCAATGGTTGTTATAAATATATCTAGTAATTCATTGGCATTCCCTCTAAAATAAATAGCATTTTATTCAAGAGTGTCAAGTGTTCTTAACAGCATTTCTCTCCACAGCATGCTTGTCAAGTTATTAACTCTTAATTTTCTCTTTCTATAGAATGTTCTCTTTACAGAATTTGGACTAGTGTGCTTGGGTGGATTCGGGAATATCCATGAAAAGTAATGTACAGCATTTTTTTTTTTACATGGAATGAGGAAAGTGTATAAAATTGATAAAATATACATATTGAATAGATAAAATGGATACCAGGAAGAATACTTATTTTCATTTGATTTAAATATTTGTTATTTTTTTCCCTTTATTTTTTTTCTCAAACAGTTCAAAAAACCTGTCTTCAGAGCCAACAATAAATTATCTGGCACCTGAAGTCTTTACAGATGGCACATATGACCCAAAAAGGTAGTGTATATGTGTTTATTTCTGTTATAACATGAGATTTTATAAAACCAGCATTATAGAATAATATGACTATTCAGAGTGAAAAGGTTGTTTTACATGACTATTTCCAGAAGGCGTACAGACTTTAAATTATGGACAAATTAGTCTCACTGTTAACTGTATTACTGTCTCTAAGAAAACATACATTTTCTAGACTAAAAACATGCAAAAGTTTAATTAATGGTGGCAGATTTGAAATAAGTTGCAACTAAGAAAAAGCACTACTCATTATGGTGTTTAAGGAAATTTTTCTGCTTTATTAATCTCCCTACCAAGCATTGTCTCTAAATTCATTATTGTTAAATATTGTTATTGATTAAAAAGATTAAAATTGACAATTAGAAATGCTGAAAAAAGTAAGAGGTATAATTTTACAGTTATAGAAATTTGATATTTTGACCATTTGAAATTCTAAAGTATCATGCTAGGTCCAAGGGAGACAAAAGAAAATACCATGAAATTCCACTGTCCCACAGCAGCACCTCTGCCTACCTTTTGCTAGGCTCCTTGAGATGAAACATCAAGGGGGTCTTAATATAAACAAACAACAAACAGACAAAAATGACAGATGTAGCACAATATGTGTAATCAAAATATTTATATAAACAAAACCTACAAAATAACCATACACACAACTAAGCACACAAACGTAAGAGAGAGATTTTCTAAATGGCACGTGTTCCATTATCAGATTTTCAAAAAGGTAGGTTATAGTATAGCTTAGAACAAGGGTTTTCTAAATTTCTAGCAGTGACCATAAAAATAACAATGCAGCTAATATTCCCGTAAATCTGTTTCACCTTTAAATCTCCAACTCTCCCTATTTCTTTCTGTGCTCTGTTTAAAAAGATTTATAAACTTATTTACTAATATAATGATGCCAGAAAGAACATGTTAAGGTATGTAGAAGCTCTGCTGTCTGATTCTGTCAGTACAATAAGAAAATATGTTCATTTTAACCTGTAACAGTGAGGCATGGTCCTCTAAGTAGCCAAGCTTTTTTAACTAGTAAAGAAGTTAGTTTCAAACTAAACTTTAAAGCTTCTTACATTATATACCAACTTGTATAAACTTACAATCTGTTGCCATTTTTAGCTGAAAAAGCTCTGTATCTCTAACGAACAGATTGTTTGGTGGCATCTCAAATTTTTTTAACCAATCCGTCACCTAAATTTTACTTAAACATACATCGAAGTACAGTAGCTGCCGGTTAATGTTCACAGACTGCTGCTGTGTGTCTCTACTCCGACCTAGCTACTTTGTAAACAGTAAAATGCGACCGCATATCAGATGTCTCAAAGCAACAGATCCGATGATGTTACATGAAGAGACTGGACATGGGAGCAGATAATTGTCTTGTTATCACAAGAAAACAGTTATGGATTTCTCGAGATCACAAGATGATTTATCTGTATGTGGATATTTCAACACAAGTCCCTCAGAAAGTTACACCTGTGGTTGAACAGCAGTACTTGAACTGAAGCTTTCTGTAATCTGTAACTGATGAGGCATACCAGAAAAATGGAAGGCCCATGAAGGAACCATTAGGTAATCCCAGCCCCCCAATATAAAAAAACTGCAGTATACCCATATTTTAGTATTTTTCATGCTTTGAGTTTTGTTTGTAGTGATTGCCATTTTTTTTTCTTCTATATTATGTTTCTTACTTATGTTTTTACTTTTTAGTGACATGTGGTCAGTTGGATGCATCCTTTATGAGCTTTGCACAAAACAGAGAGCGGTGAGTTGAAAAAGAAAAGATTAAAACTTAAAAATGTACATTACTAATTCCATCCTAATATTCCCCTTTAAAAATACTTGCTGGTATCAGTTTATTTATTGACTGTTATGGTGGTTACCGTAAGGTTTTGCTTGATAATTGTATATGAAACTTTATTGAAAATGTTTTAGGGAGTAAAATTGTATACAAGGGAAATAGAAATGGAAAGGAATGTAAGAAAGAAAGAGGGGATAATTATTAAGGGAAGAGAGAAAGAGATATAAAAGAGGGAAGATAGACAAGAGAAAGATTAAGTTGTAAGCTAATGTATGTACTGTAGCTCGAGGTAATAATGGTAATAATTATTTTGAACAATTCAGTGTGGTTTAATTGGTTTAACCACACCAATTGGTTAATTGGTGTGGTTAAATTATTTTGTTGACCCTCCTTTTTTCTTGACTATGATGAGTCGTGATCAGCTAAACATGGATCTTTGATGACAAAAAAATGACGAGTCATGGGTGTGAGTTTTCATTGACGGGACGAGACAGAATACAAATGTTAGTCTGTCTGTCAGACATTTAAAATGCATAATTTTGCCGTAAACGGCTAAGCAGTATCAGCTGTACTGCTGTGACCTGTTTTGTCACACAGCCCACCTGGCGTGCAGCACAGTGGTGTCAAAAGTGCACATATTTGTTACTTAATTAGAAGTGTAGATATTGCAGTTTAAAAACACTATGTTAAAAGTGGAAGTATCAATCTGACCTCTTAACTGTAGTAAAAGTGAAAAAGTATGTGCTCCAAAAACTACTTAAAGTATAAAAGTATAAATTAACCTTTTAAAAATAAAAAAAAACAGCCTGATGCCACTATATAAATTGAAAGCTAAATTTTTCGACTATTTTGAAACATTCTTTGAGATAGGGCCAAGGATGTGGGAGTTCTTGTTGGTCTCCGTCTCCCGATACGCTCTTGCCTGTGTCCCACCTTTTAGACATTTCAACATTTTTTTCTGAATCCGAGATTGTAGCATGACATAGACATTTCGTTTTTCAATTTGAAGAACACCTGCTTGCTTCTGATGATTTCCTTTAGCTAACCAATGAGTGTTTGCGTTATATGACTCATCCAATCACACTAGTTTTCACTAGGTGTGAATGGCACCAATGATCTGCATTGGATGGCGCACATGACGTGAAATAAATATTTATAAACAATAAAAGCCAAGTGTTTTAGGATTTGGTTGAGGACCCAAATGCAGAGGCAGAGAGACTGAGGTGATTTCTTGCAGTTGAATTCAAAAACACAGGTAACAGAGGCAGCAATCCGAAAATCCAACTAAAAATGTTAACAAACCAAAAATCATGAAGACATGAGGGGAAACGAGCATGAGAAGCCAGGGAGAGATGAGGTAAGAAGACAACAGTGATGAGGAAACTGCCACAACAAGGAACCAGCAAAGAGTGACAGCAGAGGGAGTATAAATATGGCTGACTGAACAAAGGCAGGGCTAACGAGCTGATGAGGAGCAGGTGTGAGTGGAGATAATGAGGAAACCAAGGGAAAAAGAACAAACACAAAAGGGCAACGGAGGACAACAAAGAAAAACCTGAGAACTAAAATATATCTAGAAATACAAAGTAGGAAATAAACCAATGAAACTCATGGATCAAAGTTAAAAAGAAAGTATCACCGTGACAAAGAGTAACGAGCAACGTTTTAAAATTGTAAGGAATAGAAAGTACAGATACTTGTGTGAAAATGTAATGAGTAGAAGTCAGAAGTCGGAAGAAAAATAAGTAATGGAGTAAAGTATAGATACCTAAAGTACAGTAACGAAGTACTAGTACTTTGTTACTTGACACCTCTGTGTGCAGCAGTGAACATTCTGCATGAACACAGATGGACCATGGCAGCAGCGGCAGAGGTGAAAATAAGCTGGAATGGTCCGGTACAGCGCGCATAACTCTGACAACTCTGCTCTTCCAGCTGTGCTTGTGCAGAAATGTGTCTTTGCATGGCTTAGCTCTGAGTCTGCGCTTTACGCTCCACACTGATGGTTCGCTCTCAGCAGTATGGCTCTTCCTGTCCTCGCTGCTAAACTATATGTGGTTGATCATCCTCTGCTAGGCATAAAGATTCCTTTTGTCTAACCATCAAGATTTATTTTGTTCCAGCTCACAAGACGTGATGCAAAACCTTTATTAATTTCTCCCAAAAGTAATCCCTAAATTTTATCCAAAGCAACTATTTCATTGCATACTGTTTTTTTTTGCATCAAGACCCAGATGAAAAGGTACATAGATCTCATTAATTCTCTCTCAATTTTTTTTTTATCCATTCAGATATGATGTCAATGTTTCCTTGTAGTGCATTAAAACATTGTCCCTGCTTCCTTTCAATAATTCAACATTTTATTTAACATATTCTTGAAATTTTGGTCCGGATTGCTATGGCATTAGAAGGCAATTATGTAGGTTCTCTGTGTTTTTTTAATATTAGACCCCTGTGAATTTAAATCTACTTTGACCCCTGAGCAGCAGTAAGCAAGGGGCAGATTTATAGAAATAAAACCAAAATTGCCAATATAGAAAGAAGAATGTTTTTATTCTCTGTTTTTTTGTTTTTGTTTTTTTTTTGTTTTTTTGAGTAATGAAGTTTGATTGATCTCTGTGCAATGAATAATTCATAGTAGATAAGGAAGTGTTTGCTTTGGGATGTCTAAAATCATTCATTTATTGTAAATTTTGTTTGGTTGTATATCTGCTTTTTTAACCAATATGATGTCTTGAACTAGACCTGCTATTTTAACAACTGTTGTGAGACACTTTTGTATAAAGTTGGGCATTAATTCATAAAAAAAACTTTATTTGAATTCAATGAATTAAAATTTTCTGCCAAATAGCAACTACGAACTGCATGGCAGCATTCTATATCCAGTAATCGTAGTATCTAGACAAGAGCTGTCAGTCTGTTAAAGAATGTGGTTGTTATTCAAATTGTAAAGGTTACCTGTTTTAAGAAGTGCAACATAAAACTGACAAAAACTAGACTAAAATCTTGTAGAGTTTTAGTCGACTAAAATTGGACTAAAAATATCACATACAGTAGTGACTAAAATGTGACTAAAACTAATAATAGTTTTTAACCTGAAGGCCAACACTAAGACTAAATCTAAGATGGCTGTCAAAACCAACACTAGAACAATACAGTTATCATTTTATATAATGTTTACAATGGGCTTCACATATACGTAGGTAGCCTACCCCAAAGTGCTATGAATAAAAGTAACAAACAAAGCGATACAAATAAAGTTATATACAAAATTATTCATGACCATAAAACATGAAAAAATTTTGTTTGTTTTTTTAGTTTCAGTCATTTTTTTTCATTTTGGTTTAATTATATAGAGCCTGTCTGAATTACTTTGTGCCAGCCTGCAAGTTTTTTATGTATACATTCCTTTACAACTGTAATTTCTGATGCCCCAAATATGTTTATATATGAAGATACTCTGTGTTCATTGTTTTGCATTGTAACAATGCCTCATTTGTTAACACAATGACCACAGAGATTTTTGTTTATGAATTTAAACCTCACTTAGGGAAGTACTAAGCAGACGCACAAACTGCAGTTGAGTTTCACATTGGCATATTATTTTTTTATTTTAATGTCTTGATGTGACAAAAAGCTTTCACTGGTCCTTTGCTCCAAGAGTAGCAGAGATTACCACTATTACTTTAATAACAAGCACAACACAGGTTAGCATGGATCAAGAAAACTACAACTGCGTGGGTCGCTTAATTGAAGATTGAAGGTCTTGTGACATAGTTAAAAACTCAATAAGTGGATTTGATGATCTAGGCCCTTCAAAAGTTTTTACCCAATTGTGTTAAAGGTATCGTGGAGGATCATTACAAATTTTTAAAGACCCACCCTCTGCACCAGTAACCCTGTACCCGCTACCGGGAGGAAACATCTATTAAATGCGAGTGAGAGCGTGCACAAGCCCATTTGTCTTCATGCTCACTCTAATAGTTGCTGTTCGCATCGCTCATACAAGCTAACTTTAAAAAGAAGATTTGCAATTTTTCTACTATGTCGACGCACCACTAGTAAGTGAAAATGGGGACGAGCATGTAGGATGGCCTTGCATAAACATATCACCAGAATAATTGACAATTAGGAGGATCCTTTATTTAGATGATCCACCCAGAAAAGGAACATCCTCCACTATACTTTTAAATAATAAAAATAAAAAAATCCTCTTGGATTTATGTGGCACAAAACAGCAGGATTTCACAACATATACAGATGAGCAACATCTTAATATTACAACTTTAGTGAAATTGGTTAAATTGGTTCAAATTAAATTTTAAACTATTTTCTTCATTAATATGAGTTTGTATTGAGCAATACATGTTACTATAACAGGACATGCACACCCTCCAGGTATGGGCTTCTCTACATGACTTGGAAGTTACATCTATCCATGTGTTCCCTTTGTTTTTTTTTTCTCAGCGTTTTACTTTCAGTGCAATGTCACAAGTACAGAGGAAAGAAACTCACTCTTTGCCTTTAACCCATCCCCTTGGGGAGCAGGGTCTTTGCTCAGGGACCCAGAGTGGCAGTCTGTGGGAGTGGGACTTAAAATCAGAACCTCTGGATTCCAAGCGCAATGCCCTAACCACTAGGCTGCCAGTCCCTCGGCAGTGGGGAGTTTTGATATATTTTTATGTAGAAACACAACATTCATACAAGCATAGACATCAAGGGGATGATTAGTCCTATCTGTAGTCCTTCTTTAGAGAGATGAGGCTTAAAAGACAGCCACAGTCATAGGCTTGCAGTTTTTTATGTGATCATATGTTTCCGCATTTTAAAGTAAACAATTAAGTGCTTCATTCTGTGAAATATATTTGTCCTTATTTCTATTTTTCTTTCAGTTCTCTGCTGAGACAGCTATAAAGCTCATGCCCAAGATCATCAGTGCTGATTTTCCACAGCTCCCAAGTGACTTTTCCTTTGAGATTTGTGATCTTGTGGGTGACCTTTTGAAAAAAGATCCAAGAGAGAGACCCACAGCCACTGAAATGCTACAGCGTCCTATTATCATCAGATGTCTCATAGAAAAGGTATGAGATGATTGTTAAAACAGACTTGAACTAACAATTCCTTTTTTGTAGCCAACAAGGTGAATTAAATTCTTAATTTTTTTTTTATTCTATGTTGCAAGCCAATGTTTACTGGCAAAACAAACATTGACTCTTTCCAAAAGAGTTTCCAATAATCCTAAAGTTATACTTATTAAGTAATTTGGAATGATTTATGCAGATCAGAATTAGGTAATTCACTCACACAATGTAAATTTTAAAGGTTTTATGGTCAAAGATGAGGAAGTTGCAGATAGTGGCAGGCAGACAGGAACTGAAGATGAACGGGACGGAATCAGATACTGTAGTTCATGCAGAGAAAGACTAGAGCTGGAGTAGCAGTCAGAACCAGACTTGATATGTAGAGAGAATAGCAGCCCCTAGAGCCAAAATTGTTTTCTGGCATGTTACTTTTAAAAAATGATACATGCCAGTTGAAAAGTGACTTTTCAAAAGGCATATATCACTTTTCAAATGGAGGAGTCAAATTTCTAACCAAAACACCCAAACAAACAAATAACAGGCTCTCTGTTTATCTAGACAATTTTTTTTAACCTGTTTACATTTTTTTTGTTTAAAAAAAATTATAATCAAACTAGTTTAAGACACATGATTTACATCCATTAAGATAAATGAAATGATGGTTGTTGCCCCCTAATGGATTGCCACCTTATTGTGGGCAGGGGGTTCGTGGGACTCATAACTTAAAGAAATATGCAGGATCTTTGCTTCAGCTAGGCAGATCTTAAGGTGTTCAACTTCACTTTTGTTGAGTTTAATTTTATTTTATTTGTATTTAATTTATCCAGTATAGTGGAGGATGCTCTTTTTCTTTGTGGGTCATCTAAATAAGTGCTCCTCCTAATTGTCAATTATTCTGGTGATATGTTTACTTAAGGCCGTCCTACGTGCTCGTCCCCATTTTCACTTACCAGTGGTGACTCTGACATAGTGGAAAAATAGCAAATTTTCTTTTGAAAAGTAAGCTTGTATGAGTGTTGCAAACAGCAGCTTTTAAACAGAACGTGAATGAGGAGAAATGGGCTCATGCACGCTCTTGCGCGCATTTAATAGGCATTCCCTCTCAGGAGCAGGTACAGGGTTGTGCATGTCCATTTTTTTTTAAGTAGGGAGGGCGGGTCTTTTCAAAAATTTGCAAAAATACTCCACTATACATTTAATGTAACAACCTAAAGAAATAACGTTTAAAAAGCAGGAAGAAATAGAAACTTACATTTGTACCATATTCACATTAAAAGAAAATTAGCTATTCAGCTCTTAATAATTTTTACGCGCATAATTCAAGAACACAAAAATTACCCTCAGAAAATAAAAAATACACAACAGAAAACCAGCCCGTTCAATGGCAATTATGATTCTGAGAACGCAGAAAAAGTTGGGGGGTTTTTCCATTGTTTCCATAAATCCTTCAATTGAAATGCAGCTTTTCATTGTTGAATTTCTTGATCAATTTGCTTTTTTTGATATCACCTTTTAGCTTTTAGCCCAGTCCCATTAAGAACACAAGTCAACAATAACAATGAATAATATTGTGTACAGATGAACATGCCTACAACCAGGCCTGCTGTGAATTACAGCACTTCGAGTTATTTGAATCTTCAACTTGCACATTTTGCAATAAATAAAAATCTCTCTTTTTTATCAATTTTCTCAGTTAGGATGTACTCAGCCAGAACCATATTAGAGAAATATGTTTGGTTGCGACAAAGACAATTAGATAATTCAACATTTCATTCTTTGGGTTATTTAGGTCTTGTTTGAACCAGGTTAAAAACTAGTTTATTTATTTTGTTCTGTTTTTGTTTTTATTTGAAATGTTTCTAATAATATTCTAGTAGTTACATTAATGTGCCTTAACTATATCAAAATGGCTTGTTTATTTCATTTTTCTGTAATATTGAATTACATGACCTTTTTCCAGAGAAAACCCGAATGACAACTAGAGTTACAAATTTGAATCTTTACATGATCACCGTTTTCCTATCATGTGGTTTTATTTAAGTATCATCATATATCCTAAAACTGTAAAATTGTGCAACAGTCTAACTACACAGATTCAGGTTGTGTTGTCCAGTGAAATATGTTTGCTAACAAATTATGTCTTTTTATTAGTGTAAAACTACTGTGGAAGAACTTCAGACCAAGCTGGATACACTCAGAGCTTTAGCAGATGGTCTGGAACGTATTCACGAGGGGACCACCATCGCCAGTTTGACAGGAGGTGTGATTGGAGCAGTGGGGGGAATTACATCCATAGTAGGGCTCATTCTATCACCCTTCACTTTGGGAGCATCTCTTATCGTCACTGGAATTGGTGTGGGGGTGGGTGCTGTTGGTGGAGTCACTGCTGGTGCCTCAAACATCACAAATATGGTCAATCAGTCCTCTGATCGAAAAACAGTTCATAGCATCATTAAAGAGCTTGAACAGAAAATTAGTGCAGTTGTCTCTTGGCTCGTGGAGATTAGCTATAGTTTTCAAGCCATCAGCAGTATATATGCAGATGTGTGTGACGATGATGGAAACTTTTCAAATGAAAACATAAAGAAGATTGGTTTGCGTGCAGGAAGAAACCTCAGTGGTATTACTGAACTAATCCGGCTGGTTAGAGTAGTTAACATCGGTAAAATTGCTGCACAGACATCAAGAGCAGTGCGTGTGGCAGAGGTTGCAACAGGTATACTGTCTGGTTTATTTGTAGCAGTGGACATCTTCTTCATTGCAATGGATGCAAAAGAGATTCATGACATTAAGCAGGCTAGGGTTGCAGAGACAAGTGCAGCTTCTCCACAGTCAGCAGATGAAATGGATAATTCTGCACAGACCTCAGATGAGACTATGCTCATTAACAGCTCACTGATGCAAGAATCTGACCCTGCTGAAAACAATCAGACCATGGACCAGGCTACCCCAAAGAAGGCTGAAATCAGATCTGAGGTTATGAAATTTGTAAAATCAGTCAGGGAGGCAGCGGAAAACATGGAAAAAGTCTTAGCTGAATTAAAAACTGTGATCCAATCTATCCCTTCATTTCTAGAACACAATGAGATGGAATGGCAGAATATGGAATTAATGTAAACAGTTATAAACAGCCTCTCATTCCCTAAGTAAAATTTAGGGATGCACTACATTATTTGAACTTATTGAACTAGACTATGAACCAGCACTGTATATATGAAAATATTTCAAATCAAAACAAAAATAAAGCTTTGTTTCTTGAGTTACATTATTTAAAGTATAGCAACAATTTATATCAGTGCCTATTATACTGATATGTGACCTTTGTATAGTGTTTGCTAACCCTATAAAGGAAGTTTGAAATTACTTTGTCTTATTGAATTTTGCAAGTGTTGAGCAATACAATACAATTGTCAATTGTTACATGTTTTAAAGTCAGTATCTTTGCACTTGATTTCACATTTTAATGTCTATGTTTGATGTAAGGATATCTCAAAATTTAACTTGCTAAGGCAATAAAAGTACTATTAACATTGTATATAAAAGCCTAAAATAATGGTCATAGTGGCAATACTTTAGTACAGTATACTGTAACCTCTCTCATCACACTGTATTTCTAACTTTCTTTAATATCATGTTGCTTTTTTTTTTCCTCAGTTATATGCAGACAATGTCACTATATGTCTACAGTGATAAAAAACAATAAATGTTATTGAAAAAAATCCAACTTGTTCATGTTCTGTTTAGTGATCTGAATTTGAATATGTACAGGATAGGGAATGTAATGAGCTATGATCTGCTCATTTATGGTTGTATAAAGGCAATCTAAGGATGGAAAGAGAAGTACTTTTAAGAGAACTGAATCTGGTCATTAAAGTGATCTGTTCAAAAATGTATTCAGCAAATCATTTCTTAGTTTATACAACTGCAGTTTTGGCTTTACATGTAAAATGTGCTAGCCTGATAAACCAGACTAAATGTGAGATTACATGTGTAATTCAGCCTGGCCTCGATGAATTAGTCATTAAAAGATTGTTGATGAGAACAATCCATTGTTTTTCAAACCATGTCTGTGCCTGTTGGCCAACACTCTGACAAATGAGCGCAACTGACTGGGACTTAGTAAGCGCAACAGAAAGCTGGTGGGGGAGTGTAAACAAACAGCCTGTTGGTAAAACGGCGAATATGTCCCTCTTAAAAATGAATGAGCGTAGAGCCTCTTCTTGCTCACGTTCCAACGAAAACCTCAAGTCTAATCCTTGATCAATAATTGTTGCCATCATCCTTGTTGTGCTTTCTCCAGCGTTGCTCAGCTTTGTTGTCCCGGCCTCAAAACCCTGCCTGCTTTGCATCCAAAAATTCAAAACATATCTCTGCGTTGTGATTGGCCCACCAGTTCTAGGGCCTGGGGCATTGACTGAGGCTAGACCAAACTCACAGGAAAAAAATTACTTTCGCCGCTGGTGGGTGGGGCTAGTTTACTAGGCTAAAAATGTTTCTTTACTTCTGTAATATGCTATAAGCTTAGCTTTAAGCGTGATAATCGCTGACTTTTAACAAACTTAAATTTTCCCTAGAATATAAAACAGATAATAAATATCGGGCCTTATTTTGAACTTCTGGCAACCGGAAGTTGGAATACAACTCTTTTGACCTATACTCTGGAAAAAAAAATACATTACATAATACATAAAAAAACTGTCTCATTATTCCAGATGGTGTGACCTTTCTTAGTTCATTGGTGTATAATGCGAGTAGGTGAATTAGCACCAATCTTAGTGTGATCTGCACACTGTATAACTCAGGGTATGATTCGTTCTTACCACATCACAGCTTGGGAACTATTCAGCCATTGATTTGTCACTTAGCAAGTGAGAAAAACAGACAACACAATATTCAAACAGTACTGTGCATAAAAACTTAGAATAACACAAAAGCCATTGTGTAGAATGACATGCATAGTCAACTGTCTTGTCTGTCTTAGAAAATGAAAAAATGCTTTCTGTAAGAATACAATTAAATGTGTCTACTCTGACTTAGAGAAAAGAAAAAAACATATAGTGCATTGTGTCAAAATAACTTACAAGCAAAATAAAATACATTTCACGACTCTCTACCAACAATAATGCAAAATGGTTTAGTAGTAACCTGGATTTTTTAGCTTTTGGGAAAATATTTAGAATGATATGTGGCAGCATAAAGCCTTTCTATCCCGAGGCTTTCTTCTCATCTCTTTCGATCTTCACAGCTGATGACATTTAATATATTTTAAGGAGTTTTTGAAAGATATAGCAGCCAAACCACAGATGATAAAAAAAAAAGTTTAAATGTTATCCTTGTTGGATATCAATTAATGACTGGACACTGCATCTGATGAGCATTATCAGATACATCACAGCCACCCTGTAGTATTAGACAATATAAGACATTTTACTTTTAAACAAAAATAACCACAAACAAGTCCCTTTATTTGTAAAATAGGGATCTGTTGCAAGTACTAATCTCAATTGAAGACTGTTGTCCTATGTCTTCTCTGTCAACACAATAATTTATCTTCTCATAAAGGTGTCAACAATTGGAGACAATATTCAAAAGCATATGTGTGATGCTGGCTAATAGAAATCCCTTATAGCCACATCAACAATATATCCGGTTTGCACATCCAGTCACTATCAAATAACTACCAAGAATAACATTTGTGAATTTGTTTTTTTGAAATTTCCTTCAAAAATGTTTAGTTTCCCATATTGTATTGGACCCTGCCCTCCACCTGAAAAAAATTTCTAGAATGTGAACGCAACCTATTATCTTAATAAATGAGTCCAAATACAGTAAACAGATTAATAAGGGAAAAACTGAGGCGGAGCCATCTTAGGCTTTGCAAATTTCTTTTCTGTTGGTTGGCCACATGGAGAAAGGTCATCAGCATCAAAGTAATAGGTTAAACAACTGGAGCCGGCATTTCCAAACACGTAAGAAAACTCTGAATAAAAACACACTTAAGGTAGTGACTTACTTTGTGTTTACGCATGACGTAAGTGAAGTGTACTGGAAATGTATTACCGACCAACCACCCAAGCACTGATACTTCAATTGATAGGCTTACTCTATTGCCAAGTTAATTCATTGTGACAGGGCAAGTTATTAGGGCCTCTTGATGCATGTTTTATTTCAGTTAGCAAAATACATCATGCAGCAGATGGTGCACATCTATATCATCTTGTGTGTTTTTTGGCTGTGGGTGTGCTTACTTGTTTATGTTATCTATTTAGGACCACTTATGATATACTTATCCCACTTAGGACCAACAGGCTAAGTGGGCACCTCTCGGAGGACTCGACCATTGTAGGCTGTGTTTCTGAGGGGAACGAGCTGTAGTATCGATCGGTCAACATGAACTTTGTGGACTGGTGTGGGAAGTACCACATGTGTCATAAAACAAGTACGACCAAAGAGATGGTGATCGACTTTAGGAGAAGACCCCGCCTCACTCCCCTGTGAACATCCAGGGGCAGGACATTGAAACGAAAAGACTTTCAAATACCTGGGTGTTAATGTCAATAAAAAACTGGACTGGACTCATAACACCGACGCCCTGTATAAGAAGGGCCAGAGCCGCCTCCACCTCCTAAGGAGGTTGAGCTTCTTTGAAGTGAAATTGTGAGTGACCTTCCACCCTCTGCACCAGACTGTAGGGGAGCTTGGCAGCTCCATCAGTGAAAGACTTTTACAGCATGTTTATAATCCCTGCTGTAACCAGACTCTATAATGCAACACTACAATGGCAATAAGTTGTGCATGTATAATGTGCAATTAGTTATTTAATATAACATAACATAAATAAAATGAAATTAACATGTATTACTATTACTTACTATTTTTATAAAAAGTAATTTAAGTTAAAAATTGTGACACATATCAAACCTGATGTTGTCAGCAGATAAGTGCATTTACTTTAAAGTTGCATGTCAATGGTCTTCTTAAACTGGTAACCTAAATAAACTCATCAAAACAAAAGCCTAGCCGGAGATCTGCAATTGAAAGTATGTGGTATTGACAGCCTACTGGAGTAAGTCAGAATCATACACCATAGCTGTTCTACTTGCAGTTGTAGTTTGATATTCACTGACAAATATTTTATTCAGTTTTTTAAGGATGAGAGACACTAAATAATGAGGAAAGACATTACTATTCTTTGGTATTTTGAACACCACACACATTTAACATATCCGGAACCCCCTCTAAGCATTTCGTAAAAGCAAAACGTAAAGAGTAGGTTCCTCTGACAAGACGTGAAACACATTTGAAAATTAACTGAGCCGTCAAATGAGGGCAGCTTTATTTGTTAATTTCAGTCTGTTGTCCATTTCTGTAAAGCACTACAGGAAATATGTAATAATAAAGTATTTTAAACTTGGTTAATTCCCCCCATCTTTGTGGATTAGGCGATATAATTAAGAAGCTTCTGGTTTGAAGGCCATGCAAATTGAACAAATAATCCGATCAGAGTACGTTGAGAAAAATATTTCAATCAAACCTTGAAATGTTTGTTAGGCACTGATGCAAATAAAGCCTAAAAGACAGACCTTGCATTCCACTGAACTGTACAAATTTTGATGTGGGTTATTTTTCTATCATAGTTGCATCCTGTTCACCTGATGGGAAAAGAAGTGGAGGTGATGGAGGAGTATAAATACCTTGGTATTCATCTGTATACTAGATACTACATTGGAGACACCACTATGAAGTATAATACAAGAAAGAACAGAGAAGACTGTACTTCTTAGGAAACTTGGGTCCTTCAACATTTGCTACATGCTACAAAGATGCTCATATTTTCTGTAAGTCTGTTGTGGAGAGTGTGATATCTTGCTCCATTACAGTATCTGCCAGGATAACAGCATCATATCAAATTACTTTAAAATATCAACAAGCTAATTAAGAAGGCCAGCTCTGTTCTAGGAACTCCTCTAGAAACTGTGAAGATTATTTCACAGAGGAGAATTCTTCATAAATTGAAGAAGATTTTTAACAAAAGTGAGCATCCTTTTCAGAATTTCTTTTTTTTTAAACAGTGGAGTGTCTTGTAAGATGCCTCTCCAGATCCGGTGTAAGGCAGAACAATTCAAATGATCCTTCCTGCTTACATTTACGCCTTCAACAACTCTATGAACAAAAAAACATAAAGCCTATGAGTTACTGTAACATTTAATTTTCCTTTCGGATTAATACATTATTTTTGAATTTGGAATTTAGTTTTTTCCTTGTATCTCCTTACTTTGTTTTACTGTTAGGTTTTCTTTTTTCTGCTCTCTGTATTTTCTGACACCTATAATGTGCCGAGACATAACCAACTGTTTGACAACTGTGTTGTCCACAGGGATCATCTATCTAAAGCGATGTCTGTGATCAACGGACTAACTAGCAAACATCTTGCACAAGTGAGTGAGCCAAAGTGCCTTAAAACAGGTGTTTGCTAACAGAGACCTTCAAATAAAGTGCAAAGTGATTTGTGTTTGCAACTCAGTAGACAGCATGTGCAAATAATTTTTTGCATGTGTGTGCTCATCAATATGCCGATGATACTCTAATGACTAAAACTTTGCAAGTTCATGGGTGGAGGATATGCAAATGTAAACATTTACCATGTGAGAAAAGGGGTTTTCCAG